GATATGAGCTGCTATGAGATTATAATAGCCAGAAGATAACACTATTCTAAAAATAGATTCTGCGGCATCTGTGCTGACTTTCGGACGAGTGCACATTATACATATAATAAACCAGCGGATACTTACTTTGTTTACATGCAATACTTTATGAAATTCTATACAATTGTAAGAAGCAAACAAGTTGAAAATGGAATTTAGTGTGAAATTGAAAGGGACAGCTAAACACTGTAGTGCTTAAGTGACGTAAATGAAAAAAAAATAAAAAAAAATACACCATTAATTGCTGATGATTTTAGCTGTTCTACAGAAATTAGAAACATTCTCCTGTCGCTATCGCTCCCGTCGTAGTTTCTAATTTCTGTAGAACAGCTACGGATGAACACTAATATATACTTAATGATATTTATTTTTTGGTTTACTCACTAGGTTCCCTGGAGTGAAACATTTCTTGACCTGCGCAGTAAGGTATATCCAAAACCTCATTACGTCACAAAGTTTAAAATCAGATGGGACGATGTAAATCTTTATATTGGAGCATACCTCCAAGAAAACGATATCTGGGCGAAATTTTCAGCACATGACTCAAAAATATGGACAGAAAATGGATTTGATCTTTTACTTGACGTAGATGGCACATTGTTTAATTATAAACAAGTGGAGCTCAATGCTCGAGGCGTTGCTATGGATCTGCTTATGTACAAGTCATACTGGGATGCCGCGGGTAAAAAGGTGCATGATATGAAATGGGATTCTGGTGTAGAGAGGGCCATTTACACGGAAGGAACGGTCAATAATCCTACTGACAGAGATAAGTATTGGTCGCTTGAGATGATGCTTCCTTTCACAAAACTAGCGGAAAATTCCCGCCGCGTACAGCCGTACCCATATGATGACGAGGTGTGGTTCTCGCAGTTTGCCAGGCCGCAACAATATTTAAGAGTCGATAAAAACGGAGAATATGAAAAGGACCCAAATGCCACGTCACTATGGTGGGTCTGGCAACCATGCTATACCCTCCACGGTCATTTACAAGACCGATGGGGCCACGTTCAGTTTAAAAGGACGTTCACAGATAGGAAATTTACGTTTGAAAGATGGCATATTTATAAAGCCTTGTTTGATTCACTCAATGCCATGAAGCAATACAGAGCTCTGAACGGTTTTTATACAGACGACATAAGAGAACTTGATATCCCGCCATATCTCATGACGCGAACTTGCGTAGAAATACCAAAACTAGATGTTTCAAATAGCAAAGATAATGCAAACTTTAATATAACTGTTCACTCATTGCTTTTAGCAAATACGACAGCATTTATCCGGTCTGACAGATACGTTACGTTCTTGTAAAACTTTTAAAGGCACATTCATTAAGAGCAACATCAAACTTATTTTCTGTGAATCACTGTAAAATCGGTCTTAAATTATTACTTTTATCGTGAAACTTTTTATTTTTCTTAAAATTGGAGTACATATTTCTCAAATTTGTTATTCTTGAAATATTTTGCCTCATCTGGTGGAATGCAGCTTTAATTATTTCAGCAAACTTTACCACATACATGTTAAGTAAAAATTAAACGTGCATCGTTCATTATATAACTTTTATGACAGTGAATTGAGAACTTATTGTTTACTGCGCAATAATACATTTTATTCGGTAACTTTTGCAATATTTCATTTATATTGTAAACGAAAGCAGTCTGTCGCCAACAACAAAAAACAACAACAACAACCACAACAACGGTGCATAACGGTGCTTAACGGTATCGTCTGTTAACTCTGTAAAGGTGACTTAGACTTACCTTTTATCACCTAAACAGAGTCATTCCAGCCTGCACGCGCGCGTTATTTGGCAAGACAGTTTTTTTGTAATTTGAAATCAAATTCCCCTTCAGTTCACAATGGACAGTACTAAATTTAAAGGGGGGGGGGGGAAGCTAGTCCCTTAAAAGATTGTTACGAAACAGTTATTATTTAATATATTAAAGAGAATACAGATGATACGTATATTCATTCAAGCGAATCATAGCCTCAGGGTTATCATTATGTAAACACACAGCCGGTAAAATTGCATTTTGCTTTTTTGTGAATGGTATAAATTATGCATACAGCGTAACGAAACATTATTTTGTGGTGTGTCCTTAATGAATAACTTGTCGAATTACCTGATGTAAAAATGTATAAAAAAACTCGTAACCTTAATAGGTTACGATTGCATCCGTAAAATTTGTTTACATAACTAGATTTAAAGTGAACGTCTTCACACTGTGTTTTTTTTTCCAAACATTCAAAATGGCAGGTTATTTTATTGTGGATGTTAAAACTAGAAAAATAATAGCGATATGTACAGTAGTAGCTCTAGTATTGTTCGCAATTGGGATAATAATTGGCTATTTTTCCGGTCGCGGGACTAGTTCAAGCACTGTCACAACCTCTACGGGGACCGTTGCGGAAGCCATAAAGTCCGAATGTAGCGAGACGACAATTAAATCTGCGGCGGGGAAGTTGTTTCTTGATCGTTACGTTGAGAAGCATAGCGAGAAAAATATTTGTTTGAAGTCGGCGTCGGAATGCTGGGATTTTGGGTTGCCTAGGAACTATATAGCGTATCATCTAAATGGGAAATCTATAACTATAGATGGCAAACTTGATGACGAAGCTTGGAATGAGGTAAGTGACGTATAGCTATACACGTTGTTAAGATTGGATTATATGTAGCTACTGCTTTGTAAGTATGCATTTCTTTCTGAAAAAAAAAACGAAAAAGAAAAAAAACAACAAAAAAACTCAAAAAAAAAAACCCCCAAAAAAGAAACAACAACAGACAAACAAACAAGCAAATAATAAGTGGAATTTCTTCACAGGTAATTTCTTCTTACCAGGTTATCTCTCAAAGCATATTAATAGTCCAGTCACGTCAAAACCTCAATGAAGTCCCTTTAACTCACGGCAAAATGAATACCGAAATAGTTTATACAACAGTTGTTCTACATGGTCGTCATTTAATAACACCGTTCAGTATCGTTTAAACGTTGTCGTAACAACTTAAGAATTTGTAGAATGTTTAATAAATATAAACAAGGTCATTTTGTTGTTTCTTCTTATTTAAATGTTTCTATAAAAAAATCAACAACATAGGTAATTAAAAAGACATTTCTACTTGCATATAAACATATACTAAAGCATATCAGAACATTTTTTTTGGAGAAATCAACTCTTTCTTAGACTAGAACAATGCCATAAACGAAGTATCATAAAAGTGTAAATTAAAATACCATTGGATAAAAACGTGGAAAATACAAACAGTACATGTTCGTACATCGTCTTATAAAGGAAGTGTCCCTTGTTTGGTTAATGCCCTGTATTTTTGGGAATTGTTTTACTGTTTGATACTTTTCGCCATAATTATGTCTGCTTATTTGGAAATTGTCTTATTGTTCGATCTTTGGCCAAATTGTTTGTTTTTCTCTTATTTGGGACATGCCTAATTCTTGTCGTCCTTGTCTCATGTTTCATAGTTGACCAGGGCCAGAGTTTAAAAAATTCTCTAAGCTCAAGCTCAGATCTTATGTATTTGATTGGTCACAAACTGCCACATGATATTCCCTGCACAATGAAAATCCTGAGAATTGAGACAGAACTCAGAAAAAAAGTTTTATAACCTCAAGGTCTGGCCTGAAGGTTATAAAACATTTTTTTCTGAGTTCAGTCTAAAAAAATCAACATTTTCATTGGTCAGTATGCATTCTAAGCTAGTGCCTGACCAATCAAAAAATGGAGCTCAGGAAATATTTTTATAACCTTGGACCATGTTGTTTCATTTTTCGTCGTGTGAGATAAATTCTTAAAAAAATATTCCATTTTATTCTTTGTGGTATCTATGTTTTTGACGTGTCATTATAACATTCTTTTTTGTACTTTTTCAAAATGTTTGCCCGAAAATCAGGATACGTTACTTCATGTTTAGACCGCAAACGTTTTACATTGACGACTCTCTTTGTAGGCCTAATATTAGTAGCTCCCTCCGTTGTTTCAAATAGTTTCCTTATACGGAGATGTTGGCAATTATTTGCAGAAGAAATCTTTTGCATAAAGACCCCGGTAAATGACCGGAAGTGTAAGTCTTAAATATGTTTGTTTTGACAATGCATACACTTTGATATGGTGGCTGATTTATACCATGTTGTATTTTAGTTCCGCGGGGCAACAGACGGAAACACAAAAATACGACAAAGTAACCAATGTCGTATTTTCACCTGGCGCACCGCAGAGCGAAAGGCGAAAACACGAAAGTTCGACAATCACTACAAAATATACAAAACTCATTTGACAACGAACACAGTTTGATATGGTGGCTGATTTATATCGTGATTTCGCTCCACTGGACGTCTGACGAAATCACGAAAGTACGAAATATGTTATCGTGTGGTGCCCCGCGTAGCGAAATCACGACAAGGCGCAAATCAGCCACCATAGTTTGAAAAACTAGATGATTTGAAAATCATGTTTGCAGAATTTGCTAACTGTTGTTTTTTTTCTCAATAACTTTCACTGAAGATGATATATTGTAGCTTAATCAGTAATCAAAAATCGGTATTTTACTTTCAGGTGCCTTGGAGTGAGGACTTTGTAGACATGCGCAGTACCGTTTATCCTAAGCCATATCTTAACACGAAATTCAAAATGCGCTGGGACAATGAACGCATGTATGTCGGCGCTTATATTGAAGAAACAAATCTATGGGCAACTCTTGACACGCATGACTCACCCATCTGGACTGAGAATGGTTTCGAACTTTTGATGGATGTTGATGGTACCATGTTTAACTACAAACAGGTTCAAATCAACACCCTCGGTACAATGATGGACCAAATTCTGTACAAATCCCCATGGGACGCCGCTGTTAACGAGACTGTTCGTGAGAAAGTGTGGCACCCGGATGCAAGGAAAGAAGTCTACACGGAAGGAACGATTAATACGCCGGGTGACGTAGATAAATACTGGAGTGTTGAGATGTCATTTTCGTTTAAAAAACTAGCAGAAAGATCACTGCGTAATCAGGATGAGCCAAGAGATAACGAAGTATGGTTCTTACAATTTGGAAGGTCTGAAAAAAATCTTACTGTCGTTGACGGTAAATACAAAGTAGTTCCGAAATCTAAAACTGACTGGTGGTCATGGGGACCCTGTGGGGCCATCAATCTTCATTTACAGGACCGCTGGGGATTAGTGCAGTTTAAAAAGAACGTAAATGACAAGATCTTCCAGTTTGAGAAATGGCATATTTACAAATCACTTTTTGACGTAAGAGACGCAATGGAGAAATACAAAGGTGAAAATGGCAGATACACCGACGCCATTGAAGAACTCGATGTTCCGCCATATTTGTTGTCACGTGTGTGTGTCGAAATTCCAAAAGTTGAACTCGTTAGCAAGGACATCTGGGGTACAGCCCATGACTTTGATGTTACAATTAAATCCATGTTTATATCTCACAAACCGGCACATATACGCTCTGACAGATATGTTACATTTGAATGAAAGTTTGAGGGACCTCCTACAGAAAAAAGGGTGGCGTTTTTCCCTCTCTTAATTTGCTGAATTTCTTATATGAACTTTTCTAACCGCCTATTATCAATTTTGGGATATCAAGATTAAAGGGACTCCCTTGTGATATTTTTTGACATTACGGGACTGACAATAATTGTTCGAGATTAACGCGTCATTTTATGTAGGTCAAGACTCAAAGCTCCGTTTTTCCTCAATAATTATTCTAATTTTGAACTATTGAAAAGCGTTGCAATGCTTTTCACTCAAACCGGTTTGAGAATAGTACAAAATACGATCTTTCAAATTATTTCTGAGAATAGTTCTTAATAATTATTTGTATATCGTTCAGTTTTAATTTTCCTTTCTGATCTATGTAAAAAAAATTCAAATTTAATGTCTTTAGGGTTTTGGACCTTAGTGGTGGAGTTCCTTTAAAACAGGAAACTAAATTAGTTAGCAAACAGTATTGAGACTGATTGTATTGCAAGGACGACAGGTTGACCTGACCATATACTCGGGGCATAGGCTACTTTTTTTTAGTTACAGAAGGGTGAAGGTTTTATTACTTCACTGTACAAACAACAACTCAAGGTATCTATGCATCACACCGAACCGGAACGTTTCAATCATAACACAAACTTTTGCTTAGTAAATGAAATTTAGGATTTCTCTATGAATGTTAAAAAACTCTCTATGAATGTTCTGGATTTCTCTTTGAAAGTTATGGATTTCCCTGTGATTGTTAATGATTTTTCTATGATTGTTACTGATTTGTTTATGATTGTTAATGCTTTTCTATGATTGTTAATGATTTTCTTTGATTGTTAATGGCTTTTCTATTATTAAGAATGGTTTTTCTATGATTGTTAATGGGTTTTCTATAATTGTCCATGGGTTTTCTATGATCGTAAATGGTTTTTCTTTGAGTGTTAATGGTTTTCTTTGAGTGTTAATGGTTTTCTTTGAGTGTTAATAGTTTTTAATGATTTCTCGATTTCTTTATGTTTGTTCAAGTTGAGCGTTATGACTTTCACTATAAATGAATGTGAGCATTTAGTGGTATACAACATTTACTAAGACTTGTTTTGCCTCTATATGGATAGTTACGATATTTTATTTTGACTGCTGTACATCTATGGTTTAAACATAAATGTTCAACCATCTGTGAAAAGATATTATCTTATGTAATTTGTTCAATTCGCATTCTCGTTTAAGACCGTGATGTAAACAACTTGTCACAAAGACATTCATCTTCAATTGATATCTTAAAGGTACATAATGAATGCCTCCGAAAAGAATAAATTTTTAACTTCTTTAGAAAGGGCAAACATGAAGTTTATTACGTTTACATAATGCTTTTAGAGCATGTAACACGCTTGTTACATAGGAAAAGTAGCGCTTTGTGTGAAATTATTGTCATAAAAGTAGCAAAATGTACACAAAGTAGTATTTTGACTTCCGTACAAAATACTAAATTACTATAACTGTACTTAATGCTCAAAGGCAACAAAGAAAAAAACAACAGGTATTTGGCTAATGAGAAACGTTTTAGAAACTATAAAAGTGCACAAAAATATAAAAAAAAGCTTTTAAGAAATAGAAACGAAAGCTTTTCTTGGGTATAATGGGCCTTTAATATAATAGCTGATTTTTATAACTATGATTCATTGCAGTCGAAATGATTTAAATATACAGAATAATATCACACGAACCAATTAAACCTACATTTTAAAATGCATTATTATTGCCCTAAAGAGCAAATAAGCGGAGACAAGTTATTACTTTTATAGTATTTATACGCTCTTCAGTTCCCTCCCGTTTATTTCGATCTTTTCCTTAGATTTACAGCAGACGAGATATGCAGCTGTTTAAAGCCGTTGATATTATACATCTCTGTACTCATACCAATTTATTGTCTCCATATTCTCAAATATATAAATGTTTTTCTCTGCTCTCAAATATATACACAATATAAATGATCATCTTTTCAAATAAATGTTCAATCGGTTTTATAATAGAATGAATATAATATTATATGATATTTTCTTCTTTTATTGGATCTTAACTTATATGTACTTCTTTTTCATAATATGTACCTGTATCATTTTATAGACATATATAAGTAAATGAACTTTTTCTAGAATGAATTTGTTTAATTCTTACACTAGTGTGAATTTTGTTTTTGACAAATCTATTTTGGTCTTTCATGCAAATGTAAACATTTCTTTTGTGTGATTTCGTTAAATGTTTAACTTCGAAATGATGCTTTCATTGCTAAATATCTTAAATGGAGTTGTCCATCTTTCTTTAAAATATGTTCTGACTGAATGACTGAATAGCGAATAGTGCAGACCGCGTTCATATAGGATGGATGGACCGGCTGATCGTGGCTGCACTGGTCAATTTGATATAATCTGTTGCCACAAGCAGGTAAAGAAGGTGAAAAAAAGTTTATTTTTCTCGGTCACGTTATTAATTGAACTAAAATGAATGTTCTTAGCATTTAGCCTCCATGAATCGTGTTAGACGAATGTGTGTATTCAAAGGCTTTTTATGCCTCAGAAATACATATTTAATAAATTCTATAGAAATGTCAAACATGTTTTAAAATGGTTACAAAATTCATGCCGCTAAACTCTTGCATTGACTGGTTCATTTCGGCACATGCTGGCATTGAAAGCAGTCATAATGTTCGCTGACTTTCAGACATGCCTCTACCTCTCGTTAATCCACCTGTGCTCTTCAATGATCGCATTAATACCTGTTCAATAATCAAGTCAGTGGAAAGCCCTCCCAAGTACCGATCTGTTCGCCTTACAACATGGTTTCCTACTAAGAACTGTTGGTACACCTCTGGATGTTTATTTTCCAATGACATCATATTTTGTAGGTATATGTAGGCAGATTTCAAATAAAGATAGTGGCCAGATGCAGCAAAATATGGAAGCATCTTTCGAAGGGATCTTAGATGTCCTGTCCAATCACCAATTCTTTCTGCACGTATGAACTGTTGGAGTACTGCGATCATGTCCATGTATTGAAACCACAATCTGGCAGTTCTGTGGTGACATAATTTGATCTTTAATCCTTCTATCTTTTCAGTCACAATTTTCAAATTTTCATTTTTAAATACTTCATTTATAGAAATATCGTTGGCTTCAAGCTGTTCATAAACTTCCGACAAAGAAGCCATTTCACTTGGATGAGAAGCAGAACCTGCGTCTTGATCAATTATTGAATCATCTGTCTTGGAACAATCATTATCTTCAGATATATTACCATTGGTATTGTAGACATCTTGTTGATTGTGTGAAACAAGCACATTTGGGTATATCTTCGATAGCAAAAGAGCATGTAGGATTGTGTCCACCATAAAATGCCCTCTGATGGCTCGTGAAATAGCTTTACCAGTCATAATATGTGACACAGCATTTTGAGCATACACTGTTTGAAGTACTTCTTGTAATCCGGAACCTGCCATTATGTAGCCTATTGTGCCAAGAAAACTCATTTCAGTATGAAATGCACCTAAAATGAGTACAATGTTTTTCAGTGGACTCGAACCTTCAGATGAAGTTATAATATGGGTAGCTTTTTGAAATAAGGGTTGGTCAAAGGTCAGGACTGGTGTAACTCCGTATCTCTTTGACTGCTCGCATACAAAGTGTAAAGTAGAGTTGATGCATAAACTCCATTTTCCTTCCCGTTGTACAATTGCATAAAACCAGACCAGCTAGGACGAGCTTCTTTCAAAGTCCAAATAACTTTGTGGAATAAATCAAGTTGACTTTGATGTTTGCTCTCTGGGGATGAATCATTGTCTTCATCAAATCTAAGAAAATGTATTTTCTCTTTCATTATATTTCCAGGTTGTTTAAAGTATTTGATTGATGTTTTTCCAATGTCTGAAATCTCACTCATTGACAGTTTTTCTCTTGGTATTGGCAAGCTAACGTTTGAGCCAGGTGTTGTACATGCTATTATTCCCCCCGTGGAAAGTGCCATGGCCATCTAATGTGCGAGAACATTGTGGTCTGCGTTGTCTGCCACATATTGTAAGAATTTACCAGGGAAATAAGATGGAATACTAGTGTTTATGGTCAAAGCAGCGTTTGACTCATAGCGCTGAACCTCATAGTATGATGCACTAAACCCTAAAATGTTTAGTAAATCCACTAAGTACCTAGATCCAAAGTGGTGGTGAACTTGGACGCCAAGACCGATTTGTAATGGGGCTAAAATGCTCTTTGGTCTGCATGCTTGCATAACTGCTTGGCCAATGGATGCTAGTTTGACATCTGAATCATTCCCGCAAAGTACATTGTAACACTGCAAATAATGTCTGAAGACTTTCAGGGATGAATTCTGTGTTTTCCTTTGTAGATGATACTGAGGAGAATGAAGGGTAAAATTTTTGGCTGGACTCTGTTTTAGTAGAGTTTATATCTGTTTTGATTATTTTTGCTGCTGAAGTAATTATCACTTTCTTTTTTTCATTTTCTGACATACCTTCTGTATTCTTCGAAAAGTCATGAATTATTTCCGATGCTTTCCTTTTCATAGTTACTTTAGCTTCAGTATTTCCGAAAGTTGTAACTGAAATAGAATCTCCAAAATAGTCAACTAACCTGTTCTTCATATGTGTGTATGAAAAAGCACGCTCCCCACAGGTTTCTTCCATCAACTTGATTTGTTCAGAGATTGTTATTACACATCCTTCATTTTCTTCTTATAATAACATTCTTAAATCCTTCTGTAGTATCAGCTGCTTCAGGTCTGCCAGGGCTCCTCTTTGGCATTGTAGAATGAGCAGTTTCTTGATTAAACTCCTTTGGAATTTGACGTTTCGTCCTAAAGTTGACACTGCATGTTTGATGATACAGAGCGTCAGCAGCTGGAAGATCAATTATACTAGCAATTCTACCAGATACATCATGTGCCCACTTGTCGTTCCTTTCCAAACACACACGTGCAATGGATTTTTGAAAATCAAGAATACGAACAGGCAAAACATCATATCCACGTTTTCTGTGGTTAACCTTAGCATCTTGAGAACAAAATATACATTTATGTTTAAAGTCAAACACACATGATGAACGTGTTGAACATACTGTATTATTGTTATTATTTTCGGTGGAATTATTAGCATTATTTCTTTTATGAATAAAGTCTCTTCTACAGTCCACATGAACGTCCTGTCCAGGAGTGACTTGTATAGTCAATTGTCGATCGACACTTAATTTGTTTATAGATTCGCAGCCTTTATCCCGTAGTTTCACTGTAGACCGATCTATAAGTGACCTGTTGCAAAACACACAATTATCTGTCTCCATCTGAAAGAACAATATGTTCATGCACTATTTCATTTCATATGGTATGTTTTATAGACAGTAAATGGACTGGTAAAAGTAAGAAGATTTATTCACGTGAAAAATGCAAACAAATATGAATATTGTTGTGGAAATTTCTCATCATAACTTGAGGTTCAATGTTCATTCATACATGTAACTGAAAGATTTATTTAATTACTTCGTAAAAATGTACAATTTAAACAGCATGCCTCTTAGAATTTTAGTATATTTTCCTCAAGTTTGACTTTCGAATATTTTTTGTTGGAAGCATTCAGTTTTAAGAAAAAGACCGGTGAACAACATTTACAAATATGCGAAAATATAACAATGCTACATTCATTCTTCATATTACATTTTCTAAATAGTGTGTAATAAGTGAGTAATAAGTGTTAGAATATTCCAGGGCTCAAATATACATACCTTTCACACTATACTAAGTTGCGATGGTTATGGGTCATTGTGACTCTACATTTACTCAGTTCGTCTGCTAAAATAGAAGAATATGATGTGAAGTTCCATAGCTTATTATTTGAATTAATATGGGTAATAGTCACAAACGCTGAAAGCAATTTCATTAAAATAGTGTTGTAAAGATGACCGTTATAACAAGTTCAACTGTGTATTGTAGCTTGAAATTAAACAGTAATAAATGTATAAAAAGAAAAAGAAAACTTGAGATGAGTATTTAGATAACCTTTATATTCACTATTGCTGGTGGAACTGTTAAGTTGGTTGTCTACTTCTATCCAGAACACGACTACTGAACTAAAATGGAACAATGAAAGAACTAGGAATATTTTGAATCAAACAAATAATGTAAATATATGTATTTTGGAAGATTTCAAATAATGGAATATAATGCATTTTTTTTATTATGTAATTATGTTTTATTTTTTTATTTACTAACGTGAACACCACCCCTGTGGTTTTCATAAACAATAAATATCGATAACAAATAATATTATGTGTTATTATTCATAAATTTACGGAGAAAATGCACATACTATGATATTAAACCATTGTTTCTTCTGATGAAGATATGCTGTGTTGGCGCTATATAAATGTTTTTTCTAATGAAGATATGCTGTGTTGGCGCTTTATTAATTCTTCAGCTACAACGAAACAACAGCAATGTTTAAGTAAATCATTTAATTTTAACATTCTACACGCATACAAGTATGAACATTGCTCATGAACAAAAAATCTGAAGTCAAAACATGCACATACGCACATGTTTTGTTTATGATGACATTTTCATATATTATGACGGGAACGGCGTTCCATACTTAAAAAATAAATGAACGAGAGTGCCCCCAAAGAAACTTTTTTTCTCAAATATGTAACCCAATGTCGTTTATTTATCAGACATTATGCTTGCTAACTTCAATGCATAGTAATTGCAAACAGCTTAATACATTTTGTTTACTGAAATATGCATATTTCTTTTATCAGAAGTTCGGTCTTGAGAATAGCATTTACAAAAAGATGTGCATACAGAAAGATCGCTATTTACAAAATTAACTTCTAATTTTTCGAAAAATAAACATAAATTTGACTTACCCTACATGAATTAGCGGTAAATCGTATAGATAGAATATTTTATGAACTTATTTTTCATTTCAAATAGACTCCGCCATTAACTTTATGACGTCATTTAACCTCCAGCTCTGAAGAGTACTGACTATGGCACGCCGCGGCTGTCATAGGAAAACACGAAAATATAAATTTTCAAAATCTAATTTATTTTGTTTTGCCAATGAGTACAATATGCAACTTTTTTGTATAGGACATTTAGACAATATACTTTTGTGCGGTATAGATAAAGATTTTGTTGCAATTAGTCCGAGTGCATGTTTTTCGTTGACTGGACTATAAATAATGTTTCAATCATGAAGTTTTGGAGCATCATAGCTGAGGAAAGGAGCACTGAATGTGCATTTATGAGCCATAAAGAAAGTTCAATGTAGTATTTGTATTTTGACTTCCATACGATATATACTAATTCACTATAATTATACGAATTGCCAACAAAGCTAAAGATCTCAAGAATAATAAGTTTTGTTTTTTAGAGAAATGAAAATGGTAGCATTTGAGAGGCATAACAGGCCATTAAATTAAATTATTGTTGGAGTATTTTTAACAGTTTTACCGACTCATTAAATCAAGAATAATATTTACAAACAGTAAAATTATATTGTTTTATACTCATATAGTGAATTCCTCAAAAAAGTTGCGACATATAATGAAAAAGAAGAAGATTTTTTTTATTTAACTTCTACAATTACATGCATCTCGTTATGCATCAACAAATAATACATATAAAAATATTTATAATGTCTCTTTTATATAACATTCATGAATATTGTACCTAAACAAAAAGTAGGGTTTTATCCGTGTGCGTCCGTTTTTGCTCCTAAGACGATTTACAACTATATTTCTTTCATACAAGTATTTTGGAAGTAATTTTCTTTTAAAATTCGAACAATATTTTTTGCAGGATATATATAGCTTTTATACACTTTATTACCTGTTTATTGTCCTAGTTTATTTGAAAATGAGATATGCCTGGTTGATTACCCACAACTTGATTTCAACTTACCTTTTTGAGAACATGTTATGCATAGTGCATTTAGATGCATTTGATAACATTATGCAAATGAGCTGACTGGTACAGCAATGAGTCATAAATGAAATATTTTTCTGCAGCAAATACGATACAATATTTAAGATATGCTTTCTCCCTGTCTGTTTAACGATTGTTATTGAAAACAATACATGAATGTTTTTTTTACAAATTTTATCAATAACACTTGAAAGACACTTGAGAAAGGCTATTCTTCATAATCCTACGGTAGCACAGAGGTGACAAGCGTGTGCTCTTTTTTATTTCGTGCGCCCGAGATTCTATGTCGTGCACATAAGTTACATAGTCGTGTGGATAAGATATTATGTCGCAAGCACAAGATAATTAAGTTGTTCGCATGAGTTACTAATCCGTGCGCTCGAGATAATCTTTGGCACAAGTTACTATGTGATGGGATCGAGATCACAATAGACAATCACAACAGAACATAATATACCAATCAGATTACACTGTATACATGATTTTTTTTAGTTAACTAGAAATATGCCATGGGACAATGGTGCCCCTTCTTCACCTGTCACAGTGGCATATATACAAATTTATGCTTAGTAATTTTCACTGTGACCAGGACTTTTGGCTTTATGACCTCAAAGTCAGTAGTGGTCATTTTCTTACATTGAGTAATATTCCTATCAATTAACATTAACAATGGCTTATTTATTCTCGAGTTACTGATTTGACAAGAATTGTAAATTATGTGTCTCTGTGCCCTTGACGTTTGACCTAGTGGCCACAAAGGCACTAGGACACTAAGAGCAATGTTCCTATCAAGTTGCGAAACGCATGGCTTATTCCTTCTGAAATTATTGATTGGACAATGATTTTACATAAAGTGTCATTGTGACCCTGACTTTTGACCCCAATGACCTCAAAATCTTTAGGTGTAATGTACGGAACAGGTGCAATGTCCATACTAGGGGATATAAACTGTGTTATGGTCACAATTACCTTTGACCTCAAACATTAAAAGAGGTCATCTACTGGCCAAGGGGAACGTCCCTAGCAAAATAAATAAATTATGTTGAAAAAAAATAAACCAGGGTTTAATCATTATCGTATAGACAAGGTTAACAGGCCGTAGGTACGTACGCACTGATCAACCCTATCACAGGATGGTAAACGAAAAGGGCCATAACGTAGTCAAAATTATTGTCTTATTTATGGAACTTAAAAGTGATATGAACCTAAAGGCATGTATCAAGGTCCAAGTGAATACAAGATAAATGTTACATGCCAAACTTTAACCAGGTATTTTCTAAGTTTATTTTTTTATAATTATAGTGTTTTTAATTGGTTAATAACCTCGTGTGCACCACTCAATTCTCTCGTTGGCAGCACAAGGTAACTCGTGCCCAACATTTAATTATCTCGTGCGCACGACTTAGTTACACGTGCGCACGGTATGATATTTCGTGCGAACGCCATAATATCTCATGAACACATAATTTAATTATCTCATGTGCACGACTTAGAAGATCGTGTACACGACATAGTATCTTTTGCACACGACTTAATTATCTTGTGCACACGACTAAGTACTTTGTGCGTACGGCATAGTATCCCAAGCACACCACTTTATTATCTCGTGCGCACGACTTAGTAACTTGTGCGCACAACTTAGTAACTCGTGCGCACGAAATAGTATCTCGTGCGCACGAAATAGTAACTCGTGCGCAAGAGATAAATAAAACACTTACATGTCACCTCTATGCAGAATCCGTTAACGCCATAATTCTCGCGAATGTTTAATTGCGTTATATGATTCTGACACCTAATATTTGAAGCAAAACACAATGCGACTTGTGGCGTGATATAATAATCACGCGTCGCTTAAAATAAAAACGACAAATAGTTGTGTCATGCTTTGTTTATTTTTGCTATGCACAGTGCCGTTTCGCTTCATTTGTCATTTTGTTTATTTTATATTGTTTCTTAAAAAAATAGTATGCTAACATATTTATGCGCTGCCACACCCTATACTGTAGAGATTCTTCCACATAGAGCACCACGCAACGCAATATCGAATTTTTTACCGTAACTCTATGTCTGTGTCCGTTTGTAAGTCCGTTCCCAGTCTATATAGGCAATTAAAGTTTCATAAGGACCTTTTTTCAAAATGAATCCTAGAATGAATCTAAACAAGCACATAATATCAGACAATTTCTGCAAATATTGATATAAATACGTACGGACTAAAAAATGACATCCGGGTTGGTGAACAGATAGACATCAAACCTCCTATTATTAATAATTCAAAGAACTCACTTTTGCTTTCAGTTACTACTTTCATAATCAATTCGTACAAATTAACAAGTACAAGTAGATAACAAGATTTGAGATATGTTTAAAAGGTTGCTATTTTAATTAAGAAGGAAAGTCTTTTGTTTGAACGAAATAAAATTAATACGACAAAGAAGGAGAAAAAGAAGTAGAAGGAGAAGAAGAAGGAAAATAATGATGAACAAAAGGAGGAGCACGAATCACACACTTGTAACGACGGGCCTGGGAAAAGATGGTTATATGTCATTTTAGTGGTGTAAATCTAATTTGTCTTCACTGTCATATCATCGTATGCGATCTTTACACGAGTTTGTTTCCGCAAATATAAATTGTGATACATTTTTATATCACAGGATATAACCATTAGATTCAATTGTTCAATATTTCAATATGTACACATATAGTAACTATTCTTTTTTTCATCATTGTTTGTGACTGCTAAGATATTTAATAATACGAAGATCAGGATGTTAAAGATTTCACGGAATAGGACTATATATGTTAAAGCAATTGTTTTGCTAAGAAACGAAACTGAAACGAGCAGTAGGCCATTATTTTACAACAAACATGTGACTTATACATGTAATTATAACTAAGTTGTCACATTGAAAAAGGAGTATTTTATGACATTCGTGGAATATACAAGTATATTGTTTTTCAGATCATAAAGGAATCAACATAGTAATAAAAAAACTATTTGCGTCATAGAATAGATAAAGGAATTATAAACATTTGTTCAGATAAACAATATATAACTATTTAAACATGGCTACGCTAGATTTCTACACATCTTCGTATTTTGATAATAGCTCTGTTGTCCCTTTAAGTCCATCAAATCACGTGGTTCCTATATATGTGCTTGTCCTCAGCATCACGAGCTGCTGTCTGTCATTGATCGGAATAGTTTGCATTTTTGTATCCTACGTCGCCATTGTTACTATTCGGAACTATATTAGAAAACTTTTAATTTTCTTGACCATAGCTAATCTAATAGACGTGCTTGGGATAATCATTGGAATAGTGAGATACATGTTGCTGGAGTTCACCGATGAAAGATATAAAAAAGAAACGCAAGTGTGCCTTTTTCAGAGCGTCGTAACTTCCTTCGCACCATGCAGTTCGTTTTTCTGGACAGTTTTTATCGCCATATATTTTCAAGTGCAAGTATTAAGACCGAGCTGGGCTCATAAACTGTCGAGCAAGCAGGCAACCGTGACGTATCACGTGGTGGCATGGGGCGTTCCTGGTAAGACAATTTTGAATTATTCTATAAATAGATCCAGACGCACATTCTTAACGTATCTTTAGTTAATCTTAGTCGATTTAAAAGGGACTAATTTGACCATCTGCTTTTTTCCCCCATTTAATAAATATATATTTGTTTTAATACATAGGATAAAAATTGTAGCACAAACATCTCCTATATCATGTACCATAAGATTTACTTGCATTTGTAACAAATCAGGTTTAATAAATTCATAGCGACAGATATTTTAAGTCTGTCAACCTTTCAAACCATTAACATATGCTAATGCATTCATTTTTTGTTTTTGTGAGTTTAGTTTAAAACACGCTTATTAAAACCAGTTGTTGCAGCTTATTTTAATAACTTCCGAATCCGCTTTCTAGAGTCAACCAGTAACATGGTCGTTCCCCAAGTAGGGCTCGAACCCATGATTCCTGGGTTGAGGGGCAGACACTTTAACCATTTTTTTATCTCTACCATAGCCGATTGGATTGTCTGATATATACGCACTTTCTCTGGGAGATATCGTCTGACAATCCCACGTGCTAGATGAGTCGCGTGCTTTGAATGAAGTCATTCCACCATCATTAAAAGTTTAGCCGCTAAGTCAAAAGATGTTGTAAAAATAATAAAGTACTAACGAGAAAAATAAGTTGGTTTTATTTCTGTGTAAACTGTATTGCGATATTTGCAAGATCAAGAACGAAGTACGGTTTGCCCTTACACTGGAATATTCGGACCTATGTACATATTTTAAATGGTAGCAATGTCAAGCATTGAAGCATTCAACCATTCCTTCCCTACCAGATGCCAGTATTCTTATACTCGGGCTTGTCAATGTTTTTCTAGAACTTCTTTACATCTATAAAATACAAAGTCATATGGATAAGTACGGAGGTTTAAAGAAAGATAAATTCAGATTATGCTAGTCTACATATCAAAACGTTATTATTTTTCTCTTCTTTTATTAAATAATCAATAATCAACCATTACATCCATTCTAAAAATGATAAACCAACGCATAAATGACAATTAAAAAGCAAAATGATTTAATTATGGCTGGCATATTTGTATCTTAAAACAGTTGTGCTAACAATAATGTAAGGAAAAATTGCTGTATGTAAGTGGAAAAACTTAAGCTTTACGAAAGAGAAACGGTTACAAGAAATGTTAAAATTTTTAGCGGTATTGCCCGTTTGGGGTGTATACAATAATTTATTTCCTCACTATTTTGAAATCACGGAATTATTAATTCGCGCACAGCTGAGATGTCATTAGTTAAAATGTTGTGAAAGATAAAGATCATTGTAATTATGATATATAAAATTAAAACAAATATTAATACTGATTTATAATATTATACCTTTCATAAATACTTTCCTTGTTTATTCTATTCATATAAAAATCAGCGGGACTTTAAATCATATTATATTCAGAATGACATCAACGGCCCGATAGTGACTGCTTGGGAGAGCACTTTTGCATTTTTGTCCAACCATTAAAATTTAGTCGGCTATGGTAGAGATAAAAAAGTGGTTAAAGTGTCTGCCCCTCAATACCCGCTAGGGTATTTTGTTACAAATCGCGTAATCCCAACAGTCTTCAGTACATTTTACAATACATTTTGTTATTTAAACAATATCATTATTTCCTTCCTCGTTGAAGTTTTACCATTATGTTTTAGTAATGTGCGGAATAGCACACAGTTCTTTGGACCTCATAGTATTATAGTGACCTCTCAGCCCAAAACAATTAGCAGACCCTGCCAAATGGCCAAATGTTTGCGTGCTTACTGATCCTTCAATATAATTCTATAGGGTCCTCAGTGATGTGTACTTTTTATGAAAACGTATGTATGTCCTTGAATTTTTAATTGATTTACATGTGTACATATTTATACATTGCAGGGTTAACCTGTATTCTTGCGCTGTACTTTAAAGTATTTGGAGACACTGAGGACATTTTTACGGGACCTTGGTGTTGGATAAAGACAAATCAAGAGAGGAAAACTGCTATACTGTGGATGATTTTGACAGTAAAGGGATGGGAACTACTTTCGTATCTAGTTTTGGCGGAAGTTCTTGTATTTGTCGTCTATAAAACATCTATATTACCTGTAAGTATAAAACAATCAAGTCTCTGAGAGATGTTTTAAATAGGGGAATGCTACTTACTTTAGTAGCCGGTGCTAGGGGCCTGGAGGGTAATTTGCACTTGACAGTATCGTCCATGAACAGACTCAATCAAACCATCCGAGCCTGCAACATTTTCACATTTTCAATTTTGTCATTTCGAGCTTTCTTTATGGATTCTTTACTTATATTTATTTTAGTATATTAGCCTGAAGCAATGCCTGGAGCAAGATTTGGACTACAATGCAAAGTTTTGAAAAAAAGGGCGGAGGTCATTAAGCATAAGTTTTATAGACAGCTGCTATAAGAAATTTTTTTTAATCCAGATACCGTTTGGGCTTTAGTGTTGAATTCTCTTTTACGTAACGAACATAAACTGATATCTTTATTATGACTAATGTATAAAGTATGACTTCATTCATAATATGTTTAGGAATAGTTCTTGCAACTTCACTGGCTTAACAATATCGACAATGTAAAATATACTTCTAAAAAATAACCAGAAATCTGACTAACATCTTCCTTAGTAGAAATGATGAACATGTCGTAGTCAGGCCAACTTACCCCTTATATACCATCATGATGACACATTATTATTCTTTGGTTCACAAAAAAACACCGACGACGGCAACAGCAGCAACAACAACAACAACACCACCACCAACAACAACAACAGCAACAACGGCAGCAGCAGGTGGATTAATCATCATATAAATATGATAAATTTAGATTTTTAGAAAGTTTGAATGTTATAACATAGTATATATTCGATTATAATGGTACAATATACGCCATATTATAAGACTTATGTTTGGCTTAAAAGATTCTTGCAATTTGCACATGCATGTTTAGAAATCAGGTATTTTTTTACCTTACAGAGATGTCTCCGGCGGCGTGGCGGACAGTATTTGGAAATACACGACTCGAATTTGCAAACATCTACAGGACTTAGACGAGGGGATAAAAATTTTGTGTTTATTTGGCTCATATTCTATGTACTACGTTTCGCAGGAACATTTCGTTTTCTCCTGCACGTTACGTATGGACCCTTACATGGTAAAACCAAAGTGTTTAATTTTACGCATTATAAAACATGAGATCCAGAAAAATATTAATTTCAATAACAGAATTCATTAGGATGTTACGGTATACACCATCAGCTTTTTTAAAGTTAAATAGATGATATTGAATGAGTGTAGTTTAATACTAAATTTATTGAAGGAGTTGAATATAATAATATTATGCGAGCATAATACTGTTTTATTTAACGAGTTCAATAAATTATGTATTGAATCTACACGAATGTAATATTCTATTTATCGCATATATTTAATAAGAACAGGAAACTGGAAAAATGAGTATATTGTCAATGGCGCGCCCATAGTGTAACGCTAACATTAGCGCGCTTTAACGCTATGTTTATATATAGCGCAAATGACGTCACGTCAAAGTGTTATTGCACTAGTGTAATATCGTTTTAATTAAATGGTTTTATTACACTCCTTCGCCGCGGTTTATGTGATAAAATATTTTATTTTAGATAAATCTATTCATATAATTGTCAAATCTGTAGAATTAAGGTGGGAAAATGAAATTTGCCGACGAAACAATAGGGAAACCCCTCAATACCTCTATTCTACCGGTCAGCTCTCTATATCTAAATTATTAAAGCGGAGTTCCCAGATCTTCTATTTTTAGAAACGAAAGTCACTGACGCGCGGAATGCTGTCATGAAGGAGGCTTATCAATGATATGATGCACTTTTCCGAGATAAAATTACAGAAATACTTAGTTTGAAACAGAACACAGAATTGGTTTTCCAAAATTAAATAAAATCAAATCTGAAGGCTGCTTTAATATTGACTTATATTACAAGTCTAACACAACGATATGACACAAGTCTGATATTTCTGAGACAATACGAGTGAAAGTCTTCAAATATATTGAATTTAAGGTGTTTTCATCACATGGTTTTATAAAGTGACATACTGTATATTTTATATTTTGCTATTTCTGCGCTATGTTCTATTAATACGTTTACTGATACAGTATCATTTGATAAATGTTCCTTTCATATTGTACCTGGCATGATGATATTGGTCTTAAGTTTGAACAATATTCGATCACTAATTTTCATTACTTTGTACAATGAATTTTCTGTGATTTTGAAAGTATTTCCATTATGCATCAGTCAACTGTATCCCAACCCTGGGGAATAACGGGGACATTCAACATTTATATTATATAAATATATTATCATCACCCATGTAAAGACATACATGGACAGGCAAATGTACAAAGTGTACATTAAATGTATTTCACACTGCAAGTTGGTTACACCTAAGCATTCGGTTTTCAAACCACTTTCCGTATTATCAACTCTTCGGTACATTGGCCGTTATTTCACACTGCAAGTTGGTTACACTTTTCAAACCACGTTCCGTATTATCAACTCTTCGGTACATTGGCCGATTTAAGCTAAAATATAAGCTTTTTTTACACGCTATCACCACACTGTCCCGAGTGTTGTAACAACTAGCTAGTGCATTATTGAGAACAATTCTATTCAATTTGTCAATTTTGCACGTAAATTAAAGTAGATCTACGGTAACATGGTTGTTTCTTTATTTGCAGAACAAATGAGAATTACAGACAGAGTTATGTTGGCTTGGCAAGCGTTTGGCGATACTGCACAAGCGTTCGTCAACTTTATTTGTCTTTGTGTATTTGACAGAGTAATCAGACAACATTATTGTAGTCGTCTGTCAAGAAACGATAGAAATGATCACGTGGCTAATAACGGAGGAGAGCAAGGCATAAATATGTGATGATGTAAAAATTTTATGCACGTGACTAGAGACAAAACAAATTCTTTATAAATAAGTGACGAAACACCAGTTTTACGAAACGAAACATATGAATAATATTAACTTTTATTTCCACGTACACTTATGAATGTATGTTTAAACGTTGTCATTCAGAGGAAAACAAGTTTTGACCGATTGACAAAGTTACATCAATATAATATTACATGTACATGTATAATAATATGATGCTATTAACCATTATCTTCCAGGCATCAAGGTGTTTAACCGCTGCCACGGCTAGCCTACAAATCCGTACAGTGTGAGAAGGCTGACTAGGTGTTGATTTTTGTTTTTCAATTTTGATATTAAAATCCCTGACACTTTCAATGGACCGTTCCAAAATCTTAAACAGAGCAAATCCATAGCACAAATTTGCAAGTTAATGATTAATATTTTCATTTTATATCCTGCTTTTATTTTTTTTTTACTTTTACGTCATTTTTTTTGGCTTGCGCTCTCACTCATAACGTCATCAAATCAATACGTCACATTGTTCTTATTGAAAAATATATTTCATTATTAAAAATGATATATGTAATAGTTATAGTTCAGATTTTAAAAAATATGGAATTTATTGCAAGCGTAGCGTAGCGGAGCGCAGCAATAAGTTCTATATTTTTTAAAATATGAACTATAACTGGCTTACCGTTTGACCCACTTTCGTGGAATAAGTCACGTACGAAGTGTCGGTACAGCGTTTGATGTAATACGAGTCCTGCCCTAACTAGTATAGATTGACAGCCCAACACATGGTCGTAGTGTTTTGACCTGTCAATTAAAGCATTGCATTTTTATGTATTTTTATATCATTAGTCATCATGTAACAATCCTGCGATCAGGCTGTGTTTGACATGAATATAGCAAGAATCATGTTTTTGAACCATTTCATGTCGAATGTGCTGATGTGGTCACGCAGTTGCTTGATATTGATACGCAGGTTTTATATGCAGACACAAGCAAAAAAAGGCAAAAGCTCAGGTAAATATTTTATAAAAAAATATTCTCGAATTGTCGCAATATCTAACTGCATCATTATCTGAATGAAAATACAAATTGTAACATGACCAAGCGCGCAGCTTTTGTTCGCCCAACCAGCACCGAACCTCAAAGTATTGAAGTTAATTATTCAAACATAACATGATTAATCTGCCTAAAATGCTGTTGCAATTATTAAAAAAACTTTGAAAATCATATTTAAGGGGTTTCTTTGATATTTGCATTTTGCAGGCCGATTTGAAAAGCTTTTGACATCTGATGACATTAAGAAAGACCAGAAATACAGTTTCCTATAATACAACGAAAAACAACTGGGCAGTGCGCGTCTGGAGAGAGTTGGCTGAAAACCACAACCTACAACCGGAGACTAAGCAAGAGCCTGGTTATCCTATTCCCGTTCAAATAGAGCAGTTCCGTTCATGTGCAGAAATGGATTTTTGGTTACAACGATTCATCAGGAAAAATGATGTATTTTATCCTCCAACAACTTTACTAAACATTGCTGCAAGGCTACAACGGTATCTTCGAAATGAAAAATCCATGCACGTGAACTATGTTAAAACTGAAGATCTTTTTTTCTGAACTTCGCAGAATATTGGATCCATGCATGCGCGAGTTGACTAACGAGGGTATAGGGGTCGAAGTCAACTGTTAAAAAAGTGGAGATTTTAACAAAATGTGGAAAAAAATGTCTTGGAATTATGAAAAATGGATATTCTGTATGATCTTTTAAAGATATGTGTTAGTTTCGAACTTTGAGATTTCTCTCACTCCATGTCTATTATTTTCAGTTATCAGCCACAAACTGTTTTCTAATGTTTGAATTATAACCATGACGGTATAGGGAATGTACTGTTTCAATAATTTTTATACATGTAAAAGCTTGGATTTATAAATAACCGTATGAAATCGCTTTCTTATTTGTTTACTTTATTCGCATGCTACATTCATTGTCTAATTTAAAACTCCGCCCATATCCATAACGTCATATTTGCCAGATACCACGTCAATACCTGTTAAAATAAGTCAACTTATTTTCCACATACACCAGTCCCTGTATAGTGTATGCAATATATTTCAAATAAATTGGAGCATTTGATTGGATAAGAAAGTGGGACAAACGGTAAAATTATGCAGATATTAACGTGCCTTTTGTAATAAAGCATATTTTACCCATGATGGAGCAGCATTTCGCAGTATTTAATACTTAGCATTAATATATGTGTCCGAATTTTTGTAAATATTATATTGTGATAAATCACTGTGACATTTCCGCAATATAGTTTCATTCTTCACTGAAAGCATGTAATAAATGAGCCGCGCCATGATAAAACCAACATAATGCGTTGCGACCAGCATGGATCCAGACCAGCCTGCGCATCCGCGTCAGGGCTTTCAAACCTTATTACAAGTAGAGAAACTGATAGCGAACAGCATGGATCCTGATCAGACTGCGCGGATGTTGATTTTATCATGGCGCGGCTCAAATGTCTAAATAATTTGCATGCCCTTCATTTCGAGTTCTAGCTAAAGTATGGGAAATTATATGACATAGATATGTTAAAGGGTACACATAGTTAATGATAACATTTATGTAAGTTATTTTTAAATATCATTTGTTATTTTCACAATAAACATATCGGCTGTTGTCGATATATTTCTTATCATTTGTTAATCACAATACTTGCGTTTAAGACGACTACCACAGTCGTCTTAAAGTGAATGAACATCTTTTTACTTATCAATTATTATTATCACAATGCTATTATGTTTGAATACTCTAACCTCTTAAACTAACCGGCAACGGATACTGTACAGCCAGTTTAGAACCGTGCAGTCAGCCATGATTTATAATGTTGATTGTCGTATGTTTTATCATTAAAAAATATCAAAATACATTAAACTTTAAAGAACTCTTTTATGTAATATGCAAAACACGCTAAAATCCATTATTTTTAAATTCAGTAGGTTAATTGTTGATCCATTATCTCATGTTTATCTAGGTTTATCATACGGTTTATCATTCACTTAACGCATTGTTACAACGTATCCGTATTACAATTATTCACTATGACCTGTATAATTCATACTATTTGAAAGTTTAAAGGGATAAGGATAGGATTTGTTCACACGACGGGACCGAAAATATTTTTTTTCGAGATTTCTGCACTGTCGGTATAGACTAGACGTGCAAAATTTTAATCGTTCCCCGCTCACTCCGGTCATGCCAGAATAATCAGTTTAATTTTTGTTTTCCCCCTTTAAGCTAAAAAGGTATTTATTATACAAAAATGCCTTTTCAATTTAATTTTGGCCACATAGTTCTTTTAAATTTCTTGCCTTTTTCATATAATTATATCGTGTCCTATTTGATCTATGTATAAATTTTAAATTATATTTTCCAGGAGTTTTGACCCCAGTAATTTCCCTTTAATAGTATTGTCATAAACAAGTACCGCGACTTACAAGAAATAAAAACCCGTTTTAATTATTGTTTAAAATCAATTGAAACATAAATAATGAATGGCAAAATTTCCGAAATTTTTATCGACGTACATACAGTATTTAATAATAATGATACTGACGCACGTATGTAATTGATAATAACGATAAGACGAACACATTATGAACTAAAACAAATATGTATTTAAACTACATGTAGTGATAATGTACCCTACTTATTTGAGTTATGTGTTCATACGTGTTCATTGAGGTAAAAAGTTGTTTTCCTTTATTTGAATAATGTAATAATTATAAATAGTAACAAAAGTTTGGATAAATAGATGTAATTAGTTTTTACATTCAGAGAATATTTATACATAATGTATATAAATAGTAAAAGGTTTTGATGAATATTTAGTTTTATTTTTAAAATTCACATTTTGTTTAATAATTTGTGTGATAAAGTGAATGCATATCTTTGTCTTCGGGATAATCAAAATTAAAAATGTTAACACTGCGTTTTGATAAATGTTAATCAGCAAGTGAGTTTGGTTTAACGGAATTTCAGAGAAAGCCGATAAATCTCAGAAATATATCAAATTGAAATGGCTGAAGTTTAGATGTATTAAAAGGAAGTACGAACAGACGGTTAGAATGATACGATATCAACGCTTATGTTGACATTTTTACGTTACCAATTATTTTATTACATAAAGTTTCATGAAAAGATACATCAAACATCAAGTTTACAGTGACAGTGGAAATAAATTCTTCCGGAGTCTTTATTTCTCAACATAAGTGAACATTATAAAACGCGCTGGTAGATATGGAGATGTCGTACGTCAGTACAACGTCGACGTATAACAACGTCACGGCAGCGACATTACGTCCATCAAATCACTCGGTGCCAATTTACGTTCTTGTTGTTACCATATTAAGTTGTTTGCTATCTTTGATTGGAATAATATGCATATTTGTATCTTATTATGCCATCGCTTCCGTCCGGAATTATATCCGAAAACTATTACTGTGTTTGACCATTGCTAATTTGCTGGATGTAATTGGGATAATCATTGGCTTAGCAAGATACATACTTCTGGAATACACAGATGTAAGCAATCAGCATGAACAAGAAAGTTGCACCCTTCACAGTTTTATAACATCATTTGCCCCATGTAGTTCTTTTTTCTGGACTGTTTTAATAGCGGTTTATATTCAGGTCCAAGTACTGAAACCGAGATGGGTTGATAACATGTCTAACAAGCGTGCAACCGTTACGTATCATGTGATGTCATGGGGTATACCAGGTAAATTATTATTTTACTTAACTTGTAATTCTTTAATGGATTGGATTATGCGCCTTGCAATAAAAACTATATAAAATGTTATATACATGGCATGGCACCCCCCCCCCAAAAAAAAAAATCCCCAAAAAAACTAAGACAAACCCAAAACAATCCAGACCCATCAAAATCCATGAACACCCCTTCATCCCAACCTCCTCCCCCTAAAACAACAAAGACAACAGCAAATAGAAGGAAAAACAGCAATTTATGTATACGCAAATTAATAATGATATTATTGCTGCTACTGATGATGATGATGATGGAGATTATTACGATGATGATTATAAGTTAAAGACCCATTATGCCCCAGATATGCTCATTTTCATTTTAGTTTTGGTATCTACATGTATTTACAGTTTCTAACAAAATGAAATGAAAAAAGCAGAGAGAAATACTCATTTGCCAAAACGATTAACTATCTTTTACTTCCTTTTTTTCTTTTGACATTAGGTATAATCAAAGTTAATAAGTAATTTGTATGAAAGTCAAAAAAGTATTTTGTTTACATTCTGTTTACTTTACAACACATGACTGGACATTGAGCACAACTTTCTTCACTTGTTAAACGTATGATATGCTCTTAATAAATTATCAAAAGATTATTAAACACATGTTTTATATTTGCTAATAATTAAAACAATAAATGAATTTCTGAGGCGTAGTGTGCCTTTAAAGAAAACAAATCAGCAGTTGTGGAGTGTGAAACTAACAAAAACCATACATATTATACATGCGACCAACAATCCTTTTTTTTACAAATCAGTTCTCAAATCTAACCTTCATCAAATTAACATGACACTAGTAACATTTTATCACGCTATCACATTAGGTCATATTTTCTGTTTTCTTTATCAGTCACCTTTGACAAGTAATTTACTACTTCAAATAAAACTTAATATACATTTATCACTCTGTCATATGATATTTATATTTAAACTACTAATGTTGTTGTCAAAGATAACTTCCAAAGTTACCAGAAACAGAAAATCGTAATATTAAGTAACCCCCACCAGCAATCTGACTAAAGTTAAGATGTACCCTTTTCTTTTATGTAGATCTGATGACGTATGTGTTTCGCCTTCTTCATAATTCGGATTTCCCGAGAAAGCTATTTTTAGCCATGCAATCAAACCGGGTTTAACATAAGCATTAGGAGAAGTATCAAAATACCGTTATCCGTGGAAGTTAAACAAATTTTTGTTTTTGTGAGAGACAATTTTTAAAATTGGCAAGATTGTTTTGTCAGTTTACCTGTCGGCTATATTGACAACGTTATGTTTGTTCTCGAAATCGTGAAAATTACCAACTCAGTATTGATTTTTTCCAGGGTTAAAATTAGAAACCACGTTGCATTCAAAATTATGAAAGCTCGCAGATGATTGGCTGTGTGAAAGATAAACATAAATGATTTCGTATTTGGTCTCGGTCAGATCTGAAAGTGGAGCGTTATTTAGAGCTGATTTTAATCAGATTGCATCCACCAATTTAAACTCAAATATAGTGAAAATATTTAGATAATTTCCCTTTAATTAGATCTTACGTTGTGGAATTGCTGGCACAATTGACAGGTTTTCTTTTCAAAATGTAAATATTAATTCTACGGAAGTATTTCAACTTATGTGAAAACAAAAACGTTTCAAGTTTTACACAATACAAAACTTTATGATTTTTAAACTGAATAGAATAGGTAACCCGTTTAAATTAAGAAGTTTCCTAGTATATTACATATAATTTGAACATAATGACATTCCAAGAATAGATGTTCAATGCTTTCAGGCTGCATGTTATAAAAATCACACACATTTGTACTTGATAATTTCATTTTGAAAATTTATTTGTTGGAATTATTTGCACTAAATATTTATATTGATAAGTTCTTAATCTGATATCAATAGTAGCTTTAAAAATTTGGCTATATACTAAGTTCCATTTTATATCATTATTTCCAAAACATTTTCCATTTATTTTCAGGTTTAATTTTTGGTTTTGGTTTAACCCTCATTTGCTTCTTATATAATAATTTATTTGGTGGTGATGAATAACGTTTTATCTTAAACAGTAATTTTTGTCACAACATTGTTATGTTGACTTTATTTTAATGAAGGTATCACATGTATAGTGGGCTTGTACTTTGACGTATTTGGTGACACCGAGGACATCTTCACAGGACCTTGGTGTTGGATTAGGACAAGCTTACCGAGAAAAACGGCCATTCTGTGGATGTTTCTGACAGTAAAAGGATGGGAAATCCTTTCCTATATCATCTTAGCAGAAGTGCTGGTTTATGTCGTTTATAAAAAGTATATATTACCCGTAAGTATTATAAAACTGTTTGATTATTTTCTAGGATAAATGTATGCTACTTTACTACAGGATAACAATTATGATTACCTGCAAATCGTTGGCGTTTCTTCGTACCAGACATGAACGCAAAACCATCATAAGCAATTTAATGTTTATTGTGGCGTATGAATTGCGCACTATTTTAATCTTACTTTTCCTATACATCTTTTCCGAGGTAGGCCATTTATCATTGTGAAAATTGGCGTTACAATTTTGTTTTAATGACTCTTTAATATTTTGAAGTTGATTGAAGCGATATTCTAAAGACGATTCTACTATAGATCGTTAATTAAGCTCATCATGTCCTCTTTTGTTTTGGGATCTTCATGGGCTCCTTGCCGCTAGTTCTTGTTGCTGGGTCATTTGGGGGTTGCGTTCATTGAACGCCGGCTTTTCTTGTTGATCTTGTGTATCATTTTTTGTACAGATCTCTATGTTCTAAGGTCTGCTTCAGTGGCATATACATACTTACCCATTAGAAATATGTTAATAAAGATTTAATGTAAGTTAATAATATTTTACAAAAGGGTATTTTAAAACGTACTAGAGTCAAATAAGGGAATTATGTTGTACATATATTGACCTTGACAAACATTCTCAAGTCTTTATCAAGACTTTCTTGCCAATTGTCAATTTGCAAGAAATATCATATTAAAATATTATATATTTATCATTTATTATGTGACACTATGAATGGGAAAAATGTCGGACTCTGTGCCACAGGGAGGGAAAACTGTGCCTGGCCGGGACTCGAATCCAGGATCCTCGGAATACCGAACCTCGGCTGTACCGACTGAGCTATCAGGTTGCTTAGACAATTTCTCCTCTAAATAGTAAACAGATCTGAACCGTGACATATGAAACATACAAAGTACTTTCTGGTTTGAATATATTTAACAGACATGCATGAAGAAAAGACGGACACCGTTTGCCGAGTTATTCGGACAGAATACACAAGTAAATGTGTCCGAAGGTCTACGACCGGAAGATAAGAATTTTGTATATGTCTGGCTCATATTCTATGTTCTTCGTTTTGGAGGAACCTTCCGATTCTTGATGCATATAATCAAAGAACCAACAGGTACATTTCGTATTGCATAAAAATTAAAAAAAAAACCACTTACATCTATTTATATATCAAACTATACTAAACTAATAATTATTATAATTTATTCGAACAATTGATAACAGGTTCATATACTTGAGTAATATATTTAGTTTCAATAACAGATAAATGTATACCGTATTTAAAAATCCAAATGTTAAAGTCTACTTTTTTACCTATATATTGTGATTACCAAAAGTGTTGCACCTATTCCAGATGGCGTTATGATAAATACAGATAGAGCTATGATGGTATGGCAAGCGTTTGGTGATACGGCACAAGCGTTCGGAAACTTTATTTTCCTTTGTGTCTTTGACAAATCTATCAGACAACATTACTGTAGCAAACATATAAACAATATTAGCGATGACCACGTGGCAGCCAGAAGCGAGGCTTTGGTAAACAGTGGTTTTACTTCAACAGAATCATTGCCAGCATAACGGCAGACTTGTTTTATCATACAATTTCATGTCTTTCATGGCCATTTATTACAACGATTTCATGTCGAATATTTAGTGTATTTAAAGGAAACAATCGTGGGATGTTCTACCATACTAGAAACTTATCTGAAAAAAAAAAGACTGTAACTTTCACACTTTTGCTTTATAACTGTTCTCTCCGTTGCCGAGTTTGTCATTATTCAAAATACGTTACTGCACAGTAAATGCATATGCTGAAGTTAAAAAATGTATATAATTGTCCATTTTGGCATTTTGGGCGCAGTTGTCTGCTACTGAAACAATCTTCGTTTAATTTATTTTTTCTTTTGTTTCAGCAGATAATTTTTGAAAAATATTACTATAACTGTTTCGTGAGTATCAATGCCTTGTCCCTAACATTTTAAATATATTTTGAAGCATACATTAGCGGTCTGTCCTGTGAAAAGGACACATTTCTTAGATGACTAAAGACTCTCACAATAACATGAAAATGTTAACCAATAAATTCATTGACACCTTTTACAACAGTGTGTGTCTGTATTTCGTAGAAGTGTGAAAAGAGAAAAAATAATCCCTAAAGAAAGTCCAAAACAACAAATTTGAAAATGTTGCAGGATCATTTTGATAAAGCATGTTTAAGAACCGTATTAAGATGTGCAAGGCACCGTCCGCGCCCCAAGAAGACAGCTCTTTCTATGTAATATGTTGTAGTATGATTGTGTTGCAAGCTATAAGCTAAAAGACACACTCTCGATCTCGATCCTAACATCAACCAGTACTAAGCAATGAGTGTAAAATTTCTTGCTCAAGGTTAAAACGGCTTGTCATAGCAATTCGCTCAGTCACTGTGATCTAATGTCTTGAATGTTTTTTATGTCGGTACTATGTGAAATCATAATATAGTAAGACAGTAAACCCAATATACTTCAACTATATCTAAAAGTATGACAATTATTTAAAAAATAAATAAAAAATTAAAACACGAAATATAATACAAACGCAGGATGCCATGGAACGTTTATTACCAATTTCATATAGCAGTTATAGAATAATTGTTCCCAGAACAATGAGCAACTATAAATCTATCATCTCGTACCACGCTATCAACAGATCTGTCATCTGTATACATCTGTTCATCACTTTGATCTTCTCTGCTGTGTGTATGCGGTAGGAGTGGAAGCGCACTGGTTAATGCCTTTCTTTAAGCACTAATGTATCCAATGACCATGTATCATCATATCACCAATCTTAGAAAACCAAAGTTATTTAAGTCCGAAATATGGACCGAAGAGAAGGTTTAGGAATCTGAAAAGTTGTAGAAGAAGACAAACAAATTTGTTTCGATCGTTGTTTCATTACTTAGCTACAAATACTTGGCTCTATTCTAAACATAGAACATTTCTATATATGTCAATAGTTCACTTTTCAACTGACAATACTGTTAAACTCACTTTAAAGGTATATGTACTAGTAAAGCAGCTTGTCTAAAGACAACAGAGGTCATTTTCAAATATAACAGAACTTTATCAAGATATTTAAATATTATTTGTCCGTAATTAATTGTTTAAATGAACGTTTTTCGTTTGAAAGCTATATAATAAAAAAGCATGTACATCCTCTCACAAATTTGATGTTATTGCAATTATTTAACGTAAAGCATTTTAAGCATTCTTCAGCACTAAGATAATGACAAAAGTGATTTAAATAGTTGCCTGGAAATACTCTAGAGTTAGAGAGGTTTATTGCACAATTTATGGCATGTACAGCAAACATTTAACATTAATTAAACAAAAACATTGTTCTCCTTAATTAAGATAATTAAAATAATGTTATAGCTGAAGCAATACAATCACTTCAATTTCACTATTCTCCTCATTGCTCGCGTTACTAAATAGTGACCCCATTGTGGCGGAGCGGTTGCCTGGTTAGGATTGAAGCACCAGAATTGCAGCCATCGTTTACCCCTGCGTGATCGGACGAGGCGACTAAATGGTTTGAATTACCGAAAAAAAAGCAAACAAACAAACCACCTAAATAATGATATCAGTAAAATAGAATAAAATATATATCAATATCAGTGACAGTTGTTTTATTTAAAAAATCGATTCATTCGTCTATGTTTATAGTAGTCAAACACTTATTGTAAAAAAGAAAACAAAACAAACAAAAAGGCAACATTATTTAACGTGCATTTAACAATATTGCCAGAAACTGTATTCATAAAACAAGAAAACCTCCTTTATTATTATCATGAGTTCACAAAATCTACTATGTTCTTCTATGTTCACCATGATACACACATTCATTTGGAAAACAACAACAACAATATTTGGTTGTAAATTTCGATTTTGATTTAGTTGCTTTATGAATTCAATGCATGTTCACATTTTATAAGCACAAATCATACAACTGGTAATCTGGCATACAGACTAACAGAATTACAAATCATATAACTCGCATAAAGAATATTGTAATATATATGTGGTGACATCTGCCAGTTTGATAATTATCTTCACACATATGTATTCTATTTCCCAGAAAAATTGTTTTATTAATTAGTTTATCACATTAAATTTCCGGATGTAATTTGCATTTTGTCATTTCTATCCCTTTGAGAGTTACTCTTAAATGTTGATAAACCAATAAGAATAATGAAAATTGTTCTAACTATAAATTACAAAACCATTCTTTTGATAAACATCTTTACTGACAATTCAGTATTTAGATCTAATAGCTTTTCAACTTTCTTGATAACGGAATAAGCTGTCGTTAAAGCAGTATGCCTCCAGTTTTATGCCAATTTTCATGAAATATTTTAAATGTATTAAAAAGAGATATTTGGTTAAATGAGCAGATAAAATGATGTATACATTGCAAACAGCACTTCAAATCTACGACAATCACAAACAAACAGGTGAAATTATGCAAACTAGCCCATACTGAGTAAATCAGACAGTAGAAATTTGGTGATAAATTCTGCAAAAATCAGTCATTAACTTATCATGAAACCTTCAATTTGACACGAAAGTGCCATACTATGAAAAGCGGCGTATGTATGTGCCCAAAAGCCTCGGGAGATACTCCTTATGAATAGTTACATATAAACGTTTGCCTATAGTATTACTTCTAATCTCTGATTTGTGTTGTTTTGTTTAGTATCATATTAATATAGAAATCAATTTTGGGCTACAAAAGCCATTTATAAAAGGACGCAAAAGTTTATCAACGAAACTGCGGCACTTTGATGTAAATATGCAAATATTTCTGGCTAAGTGCAAAAGATTTCAAGTGAATCAAATATTTTTTTGTATTGAGTCATTATATAAGCGCTTTTTTCCTTGTTCATAGCTCGATTAAAAAAGGAAACCACTCCTATCGTATGATATGATTATTTGAGCAATTGCAACATTGGCTTTTTCGTGTTATCGCATTTCTGTTAACGCTAATTTGATATGAATGCAGTTCTTGTTTATTGTCCTTTGGAGTCACTAAGACTTTAAAATTTGTATTTCAAAGCTAATTTTCTGAATCAAGTGGTACTTTGCAATCTCTTATTTTTTACATTCTTTCTGATACAATTAATCAATGTCTTATAAAGATTTTGCTAATGTTTTTCTCACTTTCAGAATTACACAAACAAATATGAAATTTGTAATTCAATAAAGTATTTAATTTATTTTCACGGCTAACATTTCCCTGGATTTGGAAAAATACGACATATGTAGAAATACGGCAGGTTTTATTCTTTTGTTGATGTTCATTGCGGAATAATAGAAATTTTCATCCAGTTTCTCACCATTTAAAAAAAAGAAAGAAATTCAGTATGAAACAAAGCGAAATGTCTTGATAGATTTTTTTACATTTGCGTAAAACATAAAATGAATTACAAATAAATAATTTTAAATAAAATGGTACGCTTGATTTTGAGTTATCTGTTCTTTAAAAAATAACCCAAATGAGTTCAATAATACACGTGATATCTGTAGCAAAACACTATACGACACATGACGTAAACTCGCGACGCTTATATGACACATTGTCGTGTCGTGTGTTGTTTCTTATCTGTTCCGCTTCATTTGTCATACGTCGACATCCACAATTAAATGGCAAGAACCGGATTCCGTAAATTATTTGTCAAGTGTATCTTCCTGTTTCACATAATTGGAAATGATATTGAATGCATTTTTACATTGTTACAAATTTATAATCAGCGGACCAAAAGTTTATTTTATATTGTTTCTTAAAGAAATAGTATGCTAACAGATCCATTCGCTACCACACCCTATTCTGTAGAGATCCTTCCACAAAGAGCACCAAGGGGCGCACTATCATATTTGTTACCGTAACTCTCTGACTGTGTCCGTTAGTTAGTCAGTTCGTCCGTCCGTTTCCAGTCTGTCCTATATGTACACCTTTAGAAGGCAATTAAGATTTCATAAGGACCATTTTTCTTTTCCAAATGATGAATCACAGAATGAATCTAAACAAGCACATAATGTCAGACAATTTCTGCAAAAATTGATATAAATACGTACGGACTTAAAAAAACCACCCGGGATGGTGAACAGATATCAAAAAATTATCAATTCGTACAAATTAACAAGTACAAGTATAAATACTTTAAGATATATGTTTAAAAGGTTGCTATTTTAATTAAGAAGGAAGTATCTCGTAAATAAATACGACAAAGAAGAAGAAGGAGAATGATGATGAAGAAAAGGAGGACAGAAAATTACTCCCCTAGAACCAACTCAATTGGCCGCATGAATCACAAAATTGTGACGACGGGCCTGGGAAAAGTTTGTTATATGTCATTTTAGTGGTGCAAATCTTATTTGTCTTCACTGTCATATCATTGTATGCGATTTATACACGAATTTGTTTCCGTATAAATGTTTATACCACAGGATATGACCATTGGATTCAATTGTTCAATATGTACACATATAGTAACTATTCTTTTTTCCATCATTATTTTTGACTGCTAAGAGATTCAGTAACTCGAAGATCGGGATGGTAAAGATTTCACGGAAAAGTACTATATATGTTAAAGCAATTGTTTTGCCAAGCAACGAAACTGAAACGAGCAGTTGGCCATTATTTAACAACAAACATGTGTCATAATTATACTAGTACATGTAATTATAACTAAGTTTTCACATAGAAAAAGGAGTATTTTATGACATTCGTGGATTATACAAGTATCATTTTTTCAGATCAAAAAAGGAATTAACATAATTATAAACTATTTGCGTCATAGAATAGATAAAGGAATCTTATACATTTGTTCAAATAAACCATATATATTTAAACATGGCTACGCTAGATTTCAACAGATCTTTGTCGTATTTTGATAATAGCTCTATTGCCCCTTTAAGTCCATCAAATCATGTCGTTCCTATTTATGTGCTTGTCCTCAGCATCACGAGCTGCTGTCTGTCATTGATCGGAATAATCTGCATTTTTGTATCCTACGTCGCCATTGTTACTATTCGGAACTATATTAGAAAACTTTTAATTTTCTTGACCATAGCTAATCTAATACATGTGCTTGGGATAATAATTGGAATAGTGAGATACATGTTGCTGGAGTTCACCGATG